AAGTTGGTATGGATGATCTGGATTTCTGCAAGATTTGTTTTGATCTCACCCTTTTCATTCCTAATTGGTTGCATGGATTTGAATATTTTCTTTCCTTTTTTCTGAGTTTTACAATTTGTCCAAGTGTGTTTTAGGTGTGATGATGACAGTGTGCCTTGGATCTCTTTCCTTGGATTATAGTGGAGCTGTTCCTTTACCGTTCTTTGTATTTTTTACTGATAGTTTGTATTCTTCAATTCTTGAAAACATTTTTAGGATTATTTTGTGATGATTTTTTCTTTTTATAATTCCCTCTTTCTTGGAAATCTTGTCTTTTGGACTATTTTCTCTTTGACAACTTCTCTGGTTTTCCTATACTTGCACTTCAATATATTTTTATTTTTTGCTTTCCTCTCCTTACCATTTCATTTTTTGTTGCACTTTCAGAGAGGTGTCTTCATTTCAGAGAAAGAATTTATTTTCGTAGTCTGGTTAGTTTTCAAGAATTATTATTGATTTTTTGAAGACATAGTCTCCCTATGAAATGCAGGCTGCCTTGAACTCACTTTTTGTAGTTTCAGACTGGCCTGAAACTCATGGTGATCCTCTTTCCTCAGCCTACTGAGTGCTGGGATTATAGGCATGCTTCACCACACCGGGCTGAAGGATTTTTTTTTCTTCAAAATGTGTTTAGTACAGGGTCTACAGGGTCTCACTACGTAGATTGGACTTGTGATTCTCCTGTTTTCAGCCTCCTAAGTGCCGGGATTATAGGCACACACCACCATGTCTTAATCGCTGTCACAGAGCTCCCCAGGGGTGGGGCCGGCAGGGCACAAAAAATTATTTTTTAAAGAACATTCTATCTATATTTGTTTTATGACTGTGATGACCTTTTATTGATAGCTTGTATAGTTTGTGTTTCTTCCAGGTTGCTTCTCTGCTCTTCTCTCCGTTATTCTGTCTTCTTTATTAGAACATTTTTCACACATCTGATATTTCCTTGTGATAAGTCCAAAATTCTTTGGAAACTTTTAAGCATGTAGTGAGTGGGGCCTTTTGACTTTGAGTTTTGTGTCAGGGTACGCTGGAAGGGCCATTTGTTGGGGAATCCTGTGTTGGTATCGTTACACCTTTTAGGGTGATCAGATTCTTGAAGAACACTGATAGTCTCCTGTTGGGTAAAGGTCTAGGAAGTAGGTAGGATAGCTGGAGTGGGTGTTCAGTGAACTAACCTCCCCTATGTTTAGTATAGTTGGCCAGGTTAACCTCAGAAAATGGCCTTCTATCTTCAGGAGTAGGGGAGCATGGCCTTGAGGTTCTCATTGTATTGGGACTGCTTTAACTCTCATCTTCCTTGGGCCTCCTCCTTCTAGTTTCATCTGTACTTAGTGCTGGTGATTCTGAGCCTTCTGCGTGTAGAATTGGTGCTTTGTGTTTTCTGTAGTTGACCTGTGGGTTGGCTGAGCCATTTACTGTCCTTCTAATCTTTTATTCTCTTCTAGGTTATCCCCCCCTACTTTTTTTTTTTTTTTTTTCTGTACTAGAGCTTTTCTCAATTTTACAAAGTTTGTATATTTTTCTGCCTTTGAATTTTTCTTGGCTTCTGTTTGGTTAAAAAAATTAAATATCCCTTCAGTATAATTTTAGTGGGATGACTGTAGATTCTGATTGCAATCTTACCCTGAACTTACTAGCTGACTTACTGGCAGATTAATTTATGTTTGTTAATGTTGTTAGTAGTTTTCAATTACTTCATGGCTTTTTATTCAAGTAGAATGTGGGCTTGAATACAGGCTGTTGATACTTTTTTGTTCATTTAAGGTCTAGCAGTTTGCATGGTAGGCATATAGGAATTGACTATGATGATGAACACAGAACTTTGTAAAAGCAGGTGGTTATGTACATATACATCTTGTCTCTTTCAGGTTCTTGGACTACAATGAAAATTAGGAAGAGACATTAAGAATATTTTTTAAAAGGTGTCATTAGATTTTTTTCATGGAATTATTGTTGCCTTTTGAGCTGTGAGTATAATTCTTTTGCTATACTTGTGTCATTTTGTTTTTTCTTCCAGGTGTTTTATAATGTTTGACCTAGAGTAGCAAGCAAAAGACAGTTGATTTTATAGGAAAGATGAGGAAAACATATTTGTTTAGTGCTTCTTAGATACTTTTTCTCGATGGCAGGCAGTATATATTGATTAATAGCAATATTGATGCTTAGAATACTATCTGGATATTATAAACACTCAAGTTACAATTACTAATTGAATCTTTGCAATGATTTTATTAGTAAGGTTTATTATTTTCTATCTCACATTTTTGATAAGCCAAAATACATGGATTCAGTCTCAATCTGACTTTAGCGTCACTGTGCTCATTATCAGTATCTTATTCTTATAGGTTCTGGATTCAGCTTTTGGCTTAGATGTTTATTTACAGTACTTCCCTTTTCCTGTAGGGGCTATTTTCAGAGACCACCAGTGGATGGGTGTAGTACCAGACCACATATGTACTATGTTTTAATATGTAAATTTCATTGATAAATGATGAAGTTTAATTTATAAATTAGGTATCATAAGAGGTAAAACAATAATAATAAAGAACAGTTGTAACAATTGTTGTAATTGTCATGTACTGTAGTAAAGATTAAATGATTGTGGCCTTTTGCTCTTTTAGAGTAGCTTATTGTACTTTCAACTTTTCATTTAAAGGAAGCACTTTACAACTAACTGCCAGCATTGTTACTCTTGTACTTTGGGGCTATTAAAGTAAGTAAAATAAGTTAGTTGAACACAAGCACTGCACTATCAAGGTGGTTGGTTTGATAACCAAGCCAGGTACTGAGTGGCTAAGGGTAGAAAGTATAAATAGCCTAGATACACTGGATAAATGAGTGACTCAAGTTCTGGATGGGATTATGATCAGAAAACTCAAAATGGCATGCAATTTAAAGTTTGGGAATTTTTATTTCTGGAAATTTCCTTTTAATAGTTTTGGACTATAGTTGATAATGGGTAACTGAAACTGCAGAAAATAAAATGCATGAAGGGACTACTATATTAAAGTTTAACTTTGGTTGTATTATTTAATCCAACTATACCTAGTTTTCTCTTCTGACCAAGGGGATTATTATAACATCTTCCTTATTAAATATAATAAGCAGTCAGAATTGTTAGCAGTCATTATTTGGTGATTTTTTTCCCATTAAAATGAGTGTAAAACCAATCCTTAAATAGATTATGTGCCTTGTAAGTTTTTGATTTGTAACTTGTAGAACTTATCTGGCTTGTAATTTTTAGCTGACTTGTAGTTTTTTAATTTGTAACTTGTGGAATCTAGCTCCTGGCCCACAGATGGGTAATTATAGACCTAAGTGTGTCCTGGTTCTGTCTTTCTGCTAGGTCTGGTGGTAAACTGAGGGTAGATAGTGTGTGTGTGTGTGTGTGTGTGTGTGTGTGTGTGTGTGTGTGTGAGAGAGAGAGAGAGAGAGAGAGAGAGAGAGAGAGAGAGAGAGAGACAGAGACAGAGACAGAGACAGACAGACAGACAGATAGACGGATAGACAGAGACAGAGAATATGAGAATATATTGGACTCAGGACCTTTTGCACTGAGCTATGTCCTTAGCCCTTTTCTTTTTTTATTTTGAGACACAGTAGTGCTAAATTTCTTGAGCCATGCTTTTTCTTTCTCTCCTTCTGTGTTGGCTTGCTATTTTTCTGGGATTACAGGCGTGTGCCACAATACTTGCCTAGCAGTTAAGTTTGTAGAATATTCATTAATCTCTGTTGGGCTTGGCATTGGTGAGTATTTTATCTTACCAATATGTTCCCTCAGCAAACTTGGACTTTATGCAGCCAGAATTCCTGCTAATTTAACTGTATTGAATTTGATGTTTGCAGATGTTTTTGGAGTAAAGGCTGAGATTGTTTGTGTCCATGTGAGGGACAAAAGGGACAGGGCACTTGTTCTTACATCTTTTTCTTGGGGGCATGGGTAGTTTATGCAGGCTAGTGAATGCTGTGAGAAGAAAAACACCAAATTGGAAATGTTCACTGGGCCTCTTAAAGTAGTCAGAGAAGCCTCCCAGGGGTGTGATTCTATGATGAACCCTGAAGAGTACAAATGTAGTAACTGCTGTCACGGAGAAGGGCAGAGTCTCAGGGGCAAGAAAAGTTGGTGTTGCAGATACTTGAATTTGATTTATTATAGTTAGAGCAGTGGCAAGTGGGAAAGATGTTTAGAGTGAAGCTGGAGGATGAACAGGGGCTTGACTGTGAAGGGTTCTTAATTGGAGGAGTCAGTATAGACCTTGGATGAGGGCAATGAGGAAGGACTACAGGGGCATTTTTACTTGTCTGTATGATTAAAGATCAGGAGGGGTGGAATAAATGAGATTAGAATGGAAAGCAGTTGTCCTCCTTTCAAGTCCTCCTTTCAATTTGTAGTTCTTTCTCTGTAGCCATTTTTCATTTTAGGTTTTCTGACATTAATCTCCAAAACATGGATTATATGTGAAACCTTGTAATTTGTGGCTTTTTAGCTTTAAGGGACATTCATTCTGCTTACTGATAGTATTCCCACATCTCTTTCTAAATCTGTTACTTTTTTTTTTTCCCCCTGTATTTAGAACAAGGTCTACAGGCTCTCACTACATAGATCGAACTCGTAGTGGTTCTCCTATTTTCAGCCGCCTGAGGGCTGGGATTATAGGTGTGCACCACCATACCCAGTCTCAATCACCAGCTCAGCTTGCCCTGGGGGCGGGGCCGGTGCCAGCACTGCATGCCCGGGATAAATCTGTCATTGTTGGTGTGTAGTGCTGTTTAAAAATTATTCTGTTGTACAGTTGGCCAGATAACTTAGCCAGCTAAAGTGCCTGCTAAGGCAGAGCTCAGTGGCCCAAGTTCCATCCCTGGTGTGCCATGCCAGCCTGGCCCTGCCCCTGGAGCATGCTGAAATGGCAATTGAAACTGGAAGTGGTGGCTGCACACCTGTAATTTTTATTATCTATGTGTTCTTGATGGTGACCACCCCGCCTTGTCCCACAGTACTGGGTTTGTAACCCAGGGCCTTTGCACTGAGCTATGTCTCTAGAAAATAAATTTTTTTTCCAGAAATTTTTAACTTTGTTTTGGGACAGTGTCTTGCTAAGGTGTTCATGCTTTTCTCCAACCTATTACTCTCCTGCTTCAGCCTCCTGAGAAGCTGGGATTACAAGGTTTGCACTACCATGCCTGGCCAGATCAATCAAGCCTCCCTTTCTACTTTGCCTCCCTCCTAGTAGTTTAGGTTGGCCTTTGAACTTATGTTCCTCCCTGCCTCAGCCTCCCTTCCTGCTAGGATTACAAGTGTGTGGCCTCCTGTGAGACTTCAGATGCTTTCTCAAAGTAAGAGGCTTTCTGGCATTCTTGTTTTTTTACTTTTTTTGTGGAATGGATGATTGAACTCATGCCTTTGCACTTGCTAGGGAAGCGCTTATTCCACTGAGTCATCTCCCTGGTCCCCTTCTGGGGTTCTTTTT